GACTGTGTGTATACATGTTTGTGTGTATATGAACATGTATGCACTGTGCACATGTATGTATATGTTTGCAGGCTTGTGTGTATACATGTGTTTGTATGTTTGTGTATGCATATATGTGTGTGCTTGTGTGTAGAAGCCAGAAATCAATCTCAGGTATTGTTCCTCAGGATACCATTTGTGGTGGTTTGGAAAAAAAATCACCCCCAAAGGGAGTGACACTATTAGGAGGAAATGTGTCACTGTGGGGGCGGGCTTTGAGACTGTAAGACTTTCAGACCATTTCCTGTTGCCTGCACGATGTAGGACTCTTAGTTATGTCACCAATACCATGTCTGCCTGCACATCACCATGCTCTCCACCATGAAGATAATGGACTGAACCTCTACATTGTACGCCAGCCCCAGTGAAATGTTTTCCTTTGTAAGTGTTGCCGTGGTCATGGCAATAGAAACCTAACTAGGACAACATCTATTGACCCTGTTTTTGGAGACATGCTCCCTCATTGACCTGGAACAGAGACCAGCTGGCCAGTGCTGTCCGATCCTTCTGGCTATGCCTCCAGGCGCTAGGAATGCAGAATGTAGCCAGCTTTCTTTGTCTGAGTTCTGAGATTAAACTCAGCTCTTCCCGCTTTCACGGCAAGTGCTCTATCAACAGCACTACCTTCCCAGCCCTAGTGATTCTTTGGTAATTCAAATCTCAAAATGCTTAATAAAGACTGGTGAAAACAGAAAGAAAGCACACATGAAGACTTAACAGTTGGCTTTCATGTCCGTCATCCAGCACTGAAGGCAGCAAGGAGTCAGTGTCTGTCAGTCCCATTAAGTCCTGTGTAGATGCACATTGTGCTTGTTTTAAGGTCCACTCTGCTTCACTGTGTTGGTGGCTGTAGACAACACTTACAACCCAACACATGCAATCCTACTTATTACGGAGACTCTGAGAAATGTCTGGGAACCACTACTCTGTTAGAAGGAAACAACAGGTTGCTGAGACCAAGTGATCTCTCTGAGGACACCAGGACACATCTTAATATGAAGGTTTCATTTTGTTACCCACTGTAAGCAGCGTGGAGAACACAAGGGAGCTGAGAGTGCCCCTAGTTCCCAGAAGCCACCATCCTCCTGGGGAAATAGACTCGCTTCTTGTCCAGAGCCTCATCCTAACATGTGTTATGGGTGGGAGGTCTTGTTCTTCATTAGAATGTCAGTGTCACTGATTAATGTGCCCTGTCTGTATCAGCCATTGAAGAAGTTCAGAATCGTGTACCATCTCTTCTCAGTGACTCTGAGCTTCCCACAAGGAAGACCTTGTACCTTCCTTTCTCCACCTGTCTCAGTTAGGGCTTCTATTGCTGTGAAGAGAAACCATGACTACAGCAACTCTTATAAAGGAGAACATCCAATTGAGACAGTCGCTTACAGTTCGGAGGTTCAGACCATTATCATCATGGTGGGGAGCATGGTGGCATGCAGGCAGACATGGTGCTGGAGGAGTGGCTGAGACTCCTACATCTTGCAGGCAACAGAAAGTTGATTGAGACACTGGGCAGTATCCTGAGTGTAGAGAACCTCAAAGCCCGCCCCACAGTGACACACCTCCTCTAACAAGGCCACACCCACTCCAACAAAGTTGTACCCCCAACAGTGCCACTCCCTACGAGATAATGGGGACCAATTGCAAGCAGACTACCACACTACCGCATCTTACAGCTGCGCAGCCCCCAAGACTCTTGCCCTATGCCTCGAGACTCACAGGAGGACTTCAGTCCCTTCTCTGTGACTGCAGCTGACTTTCTCAATTCCTCTCTCTCTGCCCTCATTGACACTGGGTGGCAAGGCCCCAAGGATACTGTTTCTCCTCTTTTCCTTCTAACCCATCAACATTCATTCCAAGTCTCCAGGCTGCCTCCACTTTACTCTGCCATTCTTCTCACCATTAGCTTCTGTCTTCTCCCTCCCCCCCACCCTGCCACAGTTCTTCAGTAGTCCGCTCTCACCATCACCCTCTGAATTGTTCCCAGTGGAGCTCAGTGTCCCCACGATGACACACCTCCTACAATGACAACTCCACTCATTCTGTCCTCATCCCTCCCCAGCCACCCAGCGACCCTGGATTTCTGACTTCGTCATTGCCCACCAGGTTCCTCCTTTCATACCCTGTATCCTGCATTCATTCTTTACCCAAGAACTGCTTTTGCAGTCAGCCCCCAGCACCCAAAGCCCAATGGGGTGTGTAATCAATAGCTCATCTATGTCTCTCTTCCTGCCCCTTCTCCACCTTTCTGCTCCTCTAGATGAATTTTCAGAGGAAGGTATTAGAATCCCTTCCCTGGATTTACACTCCTCTGCTCCCTGATCACCCTGCAAGGAATGTCTACACTACGCTCTCTCTCTCCTTCATTCCCCAACTTTAGCTTTGTGTTTCTCCAGGACAGTATATATCACCCAGGATACATACTGAACATGTCTATGCATATATGACAGAGCTTATTTTTCCCATTCTTATGTGATGCTGATGGCAGTTTATTTTTTACACTTCTATCCCTATAACTTAGAATTATGCACAGCACACAGTAGGTTCTCAGGATTGTTCTTTCCTATCTTCCTTTTAATGAAAGGAAAGGAGGAGTGGAGTTTGGTTTTCTAGGACATAGACATCAATATTATGGAGATGTAGTATGTTGCCATAACTAATCAGAGTAATATTAATTTTGATTATTGCTTGATTAAATTCTAGGAGAATGCAAAGTGGCCCAACTTGCATGCAAATCTAAGGAGATTATTAGAGTTGGCTTCGTTCCCTATTAATTACGCAGTGAGTCTGAAACAAATATGGAAACAATTTGCAAATATTGGTGCGAGTTAGAGAGAAGGTTCCATTATCTGAACAGAAGCACTGGGGTGACAATTAGCAGTTCTTTCAATAAGTCTCAGGTTCTCAATGAAAATGAGGTTATCAAGGAGATGTATGTGTGGAGGAGCCAGGTAACAACTGGTGCCTGTAACGCAGGAAGACTGATTTAGCTTGGACTTGAGTTAACATTTATATCTGCAATTCTAGAAACTTATAGTATAAGAATCAAGGAGGCATACAATAACTTTTCAATAGTGTAGAGAAGACTCCAACTGCTGATCCTCCCCAAGCTTTCCCTGGTTTTAAAATCAGTTGTAACAGGCAACTGTCCTCTGCCATACACACATACTGTAATAGTTGATCTCATTGTCAACGTAATGAGGTTTAGAATTGTCTTGAAGATAGCCTATGGGCATGCCTATGAGGGATTATCTTTTTACATACATTGAGTTGGGAAGATATAGCCACTGTGGGCGGCACCATTCCCTAGGCCAGGATCCTGCTCTATGTGAGTGGAGAAAGAGTTGAACATTGGGAAGCACCCATCCCCTCTGCTTTTTGACTGTGGATGCTATGTGAGTAGCTGTTTCAAGCTTCTGCCTCTTGTCTCACCTCCCTTCACTCTTGATCTGAATGGCAGAACAAACCCTTTGTCTCTTAACTCGATTTTGTCAAGGTATGGTATCATAGCAAGAAGAAAAGAAACTTAGACTCATAGCAAACAAAGGCACAACCCCAGAACTCATTGGCAAGGCTGAGTCACTGTGGTTCCATTTGCCTGTTGAGTAGACAGGGCTGGCAAGGAGTAGAAATCAACACCAGAGTATCAGGTCAACCGACATGATGCCAATTATTTAGTGTAAGTGTTGCTAGGACAATTTAACATCAAGACTGGCATCCTGGTGTAGACTCTGTAACTTCAAAGAGAATCAGGAAGAGGTAAAGTTGTCCTTGATTTCCATGAGGATCAGTTTCAGTATTCCCACTAGATACAAAACTTTGGGGGTACTCAAGTCACTGGCTTATACAGAATTGTGTAGTAGTATTTATACATAATGTATACGCATCCCCTAGTGGACTTTAAATCATTATCCAATTACTAATACTGTCCAATATAATGAAAATACTATGTACATATTTTACTGTGTTTATAAAATTTGTACTAATTTTTATTGTAATGTTCTTGTATTGATATAAATCAATATATGATATAAATGATGTATATATGATATAAATCATATGGCATATGTATGTGATTGATGTTTTTGGGGGCGTACACATGTCATAGTGCATATGTGGGGGTCAGAGGACAACCCTGAGTGACAATTCTCACGTTTCATCTTGTTTGGGACAGGGTCCTTTTGTTGCACGTGGCTGTGGTAGCTAGCTTGTGCGGGAGGGTGTTCCCCTGTCCTTCTGCTGTAGGGATATAGGGATGAGCTATTGTGCCTGAGTTTCCATGGGTCCTGGAGACTCAAACTCAGGTCACACTTGTGTGGCAAGTGGCTTTATCTGAGCTGTCTCCCTGCCTCATTGCTGTTCGTTCTTTCCCAAATATTTTCAGTCTGTGGTTTGCTGAATCTACAGAAGTGAATCCAGCAATACAGAAAGCCAATTTGATTTTAATCAGTCAAAAGTTTAAGAATAATGTGTGTGTGCATGTGTGTGTGTGTGTGTGTGTGTGTGTGTGTGTGTGTGTGTACGTACCATCCTTTAGATGTCACATGTTCATGTGCATGTAGGGAGTGGTCACTCTGAAGTATAAGTAACACACTGGGTACAAAGAAGCCTGTACCCCAGCTCACGGATACATCAGGAATGCCTGTGCCTATTGATGCCGTAGGCACAATTCATCTCTGCATTGTTTGTTTGTTCATCTGCCACTTTGCAGTGCCTGCCTCCTGCTCCAGTCTTGAGATGAAATGCTCTGGCAGGGAGCAGATGTACCAATTAATAACCTGTCGGGTCTGACGGGTAGAAGAGGGGGAGGTGTCCTCACATGAACCTTTGGCGTGGCTTTCGTCCCTATTTCGGGGTGCTGTGGGTCACGAGACACATGCTGCCTCCCCAGGGAGGGTCCAAACTGTCTCATTAGCGCCTGTCTTTTGTGACACTATGATGCGGCTTTTGGAAGCCCGACTCACCTGCTCTTCTCCAAGAATCCTGAAGTGATGGAGCTCTTTAATCAGGGAGTTGGGACAGCCAGCTGTGGGGAAAGGAGAATTAATCACTCAAGTGTCACCGCCATTCTGTGCAGTAGTTCCTTTCTCATACACCGTTATGACTGCCAACAGCTGGTGCTGATGCTGACGGGGACCCGGATGCACACCTGAAAACACACGTCTCACCAAACACCAAGGAGCCAGACCTTCAAAGTTGCACCGACCAAGGCTTGGGCTCAGACTGTAACACTTTGGGAAAGGCCTGTATGTGAATCTAGCCAGACTTGTCCCCTGGCATGAAGACTATGACCTGGCCCTAGGGTGTCGTGGTCCTACTGACACTTATAAATGTGCCCTGATACAGAGCTAGGAGCCTGTGGGGCTGGAAGGGGGAAACCAGTGACTGTAGGTGTTCACAGCTTGACCAGGTGGTATTTCCTGGCCACTAAGGCCTGAGTTCTGTTCATTAAGGCTTGGGAATTGAGGCAGAATGGCTGGGCATCCTCTCCTCCCAGAGTTTGCTGGAGTTTAAGAGATTGCCACTGCTTTCCAGTTCTCCTCATCAATCCTGAGCTCCTCAGCTTTCCCATTGTCTTCTTTGGTGCGGGAGAATTGTCTGTATTCTGTCAATCATATTTTAATAAAATGCTGATTGGCCAGGCAGGCAGTATAGGCGGGAAAGCCAGACAGGAAGTAGGGGTGGAGCAATGAGAACAGGAGAATTCTGGGAAGCAGGGAAGTTCCTCTGCCACTCCTGTCCAGACCACCAAAGAGGCAACATGTAAGCTGTCACACTGAGAAAGGTACTGAGCCCATGTGGCTAACGTAGATAAGAATAATGGGGTAACATAAGTTATAAGAGTTAACAAGAAGCCTGACCTAATGAGCCAATCAGTTTATAACCTGATGTAGACTCCGTGTGATTTTCCTTGGGACTTGCTGGCTTGTTGGGGTACTGGGCGGGACAGAAACCCCAACAAGCTGGCCCTCACTACAGATGGCGCCCACGTGGATAAATGAATCCACAGAAAGCCTGAGAAAGTTTGGGAAAGAATAGAGTAAAGTATGTTTTCTTGGTAGCAGCAATTTTTCGGTTCTGCTCTGCTTGCTAGAGGCAAGCAAATGCTCTCATCTAAGAGAGGCTTCTTGACTCAGCCTTAGCTGCAAAACCTTACAGCTCATTAAGAGGTCCTGCCACGAAACACTTAAATGCTGTTGGTGAAAAGCTGAACGCATGCTTTTCGGTTTTCAGTCGTAGCAGGAAAAAAGCTGTGCTGTTTTAAAATGCCGGCTTTCTGGGCTGTCCTGCCAGGACAGACTCTGACTCTTGCAGGCAGGCAGTCTGACTGAGTGTGGTCTCTGAGCAGAATGATGCAGCTTGCTTGCTAGCAAGGACGTTGAAACACGACAGAGTTGTGGCAGTGAACACAGCTGTGGCTGGTATCTCAGCTATGAGTCTGGAAAGCTAAGGAATGAGCTGGATCTAGCCGTCAAAGCCATGGCTTTCCATATTGCTTTGTAAATTAAAGGCTCATGTGGTCAGAAAAAGAGAGATAAACAGTAGAGATTCAAAGATGAAGAAAACCTCTAAATGGTTTACAGTGTGTTAAAAATATATGCAGGCTAAAAGGTTAAAGTCATTAAAAATAAAAAAGAAAGAAAGGGAGATATAGGGTGTGGTGGTATACACCTTTAATCCCAATGCCTGGGAGGCAGAGGCATGTTGACCTCTGTGACTTTAAGGGACAGAGGTAGTTAACCTCTGTGACTTCAAGGTGTGGTAGCACACACCTTCAATCCCAATACCTGGGAGGCAGAGACAGACAGATCTCTGAGTTCAAGGTGTGGTAGCACACACCTTTAATCCTAGCACTGGGGAAGCAGAGACACGTGGATCTCTTTGAGTTCAAGGTGTGGTAGCAAACACCTTTGAGCCCAGTACTGGGGAGGCAGAGACAGAAGGATCTCTGTGAGTTCAAGGACAGCCTGGTCTACAGTGTTATTCCAGGACAAAGATATACAGAGAACCTGTCTCAAAAAGTAAAAGTAAAAAATAAAAAAAAATAGAGGTTAAAGTAAAGCCACACAAAGATGGAAAATACAAAGAGAATCTTGATACTGTATGTTATTATGCTCTCTTTGAATTGTTTGATTGTTGAGGAAGGAGCAACAGCTGCTAAAAGACTTTTGTTTATAAATGCTGCTGAACTAACCCAAGATAGGTATTTTGAAAATACCTTGGCTTCAAAATTGAAGTCAAAAGGTATGTTACTTTGGAGAAGAGATTTTGCTTTTGTTTCCACAGAAAACGAGAGGCTTTGGATTTATTCAGAGTTAAGAAAAATCACCTTTGACCAAGGGAGGCCACCTGAAAAATCTCCGACAGGAATAGATGGCCCAGATGTCTGAGTTTTACATCCTGAACAGATTCAAGACTACTGCCTGAGATGATCAAGACTCACAGGATACTCCAGTCAGGACTTGATTATAATTCTAAATTTTCTTTAGGTCCCCATAAGATCATCAGTGCCCCCAACCAGCAGGAAGTAGCCTGAAATACTACGCCCACATTCCCAACAAATGGACTATGGGTATTTTTCTTTGTTTAAAAAAAAAAAAGAGGGAAATGGTGCGGGAGAATTGTCTGTATTCTGTCAATCATATTTTAATAAAATGCTGATTGGCCAGGCAGGCAGTATAGGCAGGAAAGCCAGACAGGAAGTAGGGGTGGAGCAATGAGAACAGGAGAATTCTGGGAAGCAGGGAAGTTCCTCTGCCACTCCTGTCCAGACCACCAAAGAGGCAATATGTAAGCTGTCACACTGAGAAAGGTACTGAGCCCATGTGGCTAACGTAGATAAGAATAATGGGGTAACATAAGTTATAAGAGTTAACAAGAAGCCTGACCTAATGAGCCAATCAGTTTATAACCTGATGTAGACTCCGTGTGATTTTCCTTGGGACTTGCTGGCTTGTTGGGGTACTGGGCGGGACAGAAACCCCAACAAGCTGGCCCTCACTACACTTCTTTTAGTCATAAAACAAAAATAAATAAATTATATGTGTACATTTAGAGATGTATGCATTTGCAGGTACTTAGCATCAACGAGAGCATGCTCTGTCCCTGCCTCCTCAGTGGAATTATTCCACAGTGTTAGGTTCTAGTCATTCATAATATTAACTCCAGAAACAAAGCTGATATTAAAAACCTGTTCCTCCGAGATAAGACCAACAGATTGCATAAATCTACTGACATTTCCATTAAGGAAATTGGATCATATGCAGAACACACCAGAGAAGCCCTGTGTCAGGTCTCCTTCACGCAGCACCAGGAGGTCAGAAAGCTGGAAGGACTGAGGGGGCTTCTGGGTGAGGGCAGGTTAAGGAAGGACAAGATGTGCCTTCACACAGGCGACACTGTCCTTGGCACGAGTGTTCTAGAAAGTAGAACAGAGTCACAGTGTGGGCTAGCAATGAGAGGTGCCCACACAGGCTGAATATGGACACGAGATTTTAGAAGGAATTTGGGTGACAATGATGGTATGCGTCAGTTTGACCAACGTGACACCCAGGAGGAGCAAAACAGAACGTTGCTTGCATTTGAGTTGGTGGGTTAGACATAGGAGAGCTGCCCTCACTTACGTCAGTAAGCATCACACAACCCATCCAGGGCAGTGAGCAGAAGCAGTATGAGGGGAAGGATGCAGGGAAGGCAGGATGCAGGGACAGACGCCTGGAAGGAGGAGCCTTCTGGACTGGGACGTGAACCGGCAGTGGCTCCATGGCGTCTCCCTCTCCACCTTCCTTCTCCCAGCATTCAGTCCAGTTTTCCCCATCTACCTAAGTTCCACCCTATCAACAGGCCAAGGCAGTTTCTTTATTCATTAGTCAATAAAAGCAACCCATAGACAGAAGGACCTCCCACACCACATGTTTGTGTTTGTGTGTGTGCACATGTTTGTGTGTATGCATGCATGTTTTTGTGTGCATATGTGTGTGTGTGTGTGTGTGTGTGTGTGCACTCATTATATCAGTTCTTTCCCTTTAGAGAACCCTGACTAACACAGGATCCTCACATATGAATCCTTACTGGTTCTGTTTTTCTGAGAACCCTGAGTAATAGACTTGGGTCAGTTCTAATTCTGAAATCCTGTGGCCATGGTAAACATTGGAATACATTTATATTATATAATATCTTAGATATTATACAGCACCTCATAATGAGAACGTGGTGGTGTGGGAGAACTGTCTGTAATCTGTCAATCATGTTTTAAATAAACACTGATTGGCCAGGCAGGAAGTATAGGCGGGAAAACCAGACAGGAAGTAGAAATGATGCATTGAGAACAGGAGACTTCTGGGAAGGAGGAAGCTGATTCCTCCCACTCCTACCCAGATCACTGAAGCAGCAGGATGTGATCTGCCCCACTGAAAAAGGTACTGAGCCACATGGCTAACATAGATCAGAATAATGGGTTAATATAAGCTATAAGAGCTAATAAGTAGCCTGTCTTAATGGGCCAATCAGCTTTATAACTTACAGAGTCCTCTGTGTGATTTTCTTTGGGGCTAAACAGCTGTGGGAATCGGGTGGGACAGAAAACACAAACAAGCCAGCCCTTCATGTTACAAGGTGGTTCATAAGTTAGTCAGTGTAGGGGATTTTGTTGTGTAAGAGAATAGGGGAAGTCCTGAAGCAAATGTTTTGCTGCCAGACACACACACACACACACACACAAATTAGTTGCCACGTCATGCCCAATAGCATGGAGGAGGTTTGTCTTCTTGTCGTGACGGCTGAGTGACAACCATCATGGAGCCTTGCCAGCGAGGAAGGCTCAAGAGAGAACAAGAGAGACTTGTTCATTCTGGGTTGCTGCTCTGATGACTGAAGAATTAGCGATGGTAGCTGTGCCGTTTGGTTGTCAGGGCAGCTGAGAAGCGCTACAGAAATCCAGCCACATGCTGGCCTCCCTGTGTGAGCCCTCCAGGGCAAGGGGAGATGGTTTCGTTTCTGAGACGATGACTGAAGGAGCAGAGGTGG